TATGGATCTTGGGTTTTTTTTTTTTAAACCATTCAGCTACTCTATGTCTTTTAATTGGAGCATTTAGTCCATTTACATTTAAAGTAATTATTGATAGGTTGATACTTATTGCCATTTTGTTTTCTGATTGCTTTTTTAGTTCTTCTTTGTTTCTTTCTTCTCTTGCTCTCTTCCTTTGTGGTTTGATGACTGTCTTTAGTGTTATGTTTTGACTCCTTTACTTTTTGTGTATCTATTATAGGTTTTTGGTTTGTGGTTACTAAGAGGTAGGGGTGTGTGTGTGTGTGTGTGTGTGTGTGTATGTGTGTATATATATATATTTTTTTTTAAGTTGACAATCTCTTAAGCTTGTACACATTATAACAGCCATATAATTTTAACTTTTAACCCCCCACCACATTTTATTTTTTTGACATTTTACATGTTTTAATTTTGTGTCTTTCTTCACTTATTGTAGATATAGATGATTTTACTACATTTTTTCCTTTAACCTTCCTACTAGCTTTATAAGTGATTGATCTATTACCTTTTCTATTGTTTGCTTTTACCAGTGAGATATTTCCTTTCATAATTGTCTTATTTCTAAGACGATTGTGGCCTTTTCTTTTCTGCTTAGTGAACTCCATTTAACATTTCTTATAAGGCTGGTTTAGTGGTGGTGAACTCTTTTAGCTTTTGCTTGTCTGTAAAACTTTTTATTGCTCCTTTAATTCTGCATAGACCCCATCTTTATTTGAAATATTGATATTTTGTTCATCATGGATTATTTTGCATTAATTTTGATTTTTTAAAATGTTTCATTAAAATATTACTTATCTCACTTTCTGAGTTTTTGGATGTCCCCTTAACCTTTGTGTCCAAGGTGAACACCTCACTTTCTCACCCTAGTCCCTGACCTAGATCCCAGCCCCAAGTCATGATTTAGTGGATTGTCCGTGTAACAGGCTGTCTGTTGGAGGCAGGTACTCAGCCCTCATAGCTGCTTGAGGGAAGACAATCACCCCACAGAGCAGGTGGATACTGGGGAATGCAGACCAATTTTGATTGTAGCCAAAGCAAACAGTCTCTAAGAAACAAATCTACTGAAGGATCAAGACATTCCAGAGGCAAACAGGAACAGTTTCCAGAAGATTTATTCTTTTGGATTCCTGGCACTTCTTATGTCTCCAGTTCCTTAGGAAGGAAATGCACAGACTGACTTGTAGGGGATCAACTGTGACTGTCAGCCCCCCACGCTTACAAACATTTTCCCCCTTTGTTCCATGAAAGGTACAGAGATTTGATTCAGAGGAGCTCAGATGTTAGTGGAGAAAACTGTTTTCCCTTCAGCATCTCTCATCCAAGGCTTCCACAGAATCCCAGCACTGGGTCTGGAACTGCCTGTGGGGCCTGGCCTTGGGCTTCCAGGCAGGGCAAGATCTCAGGTAGCGGTGTCTGTCTGGGAAGCTGCAGGCCTTCTAGCTGCATCTCAGTCAGTGTGGCTTGACCTTCACTCCCCTGGACAGGCAGAGCCGCTAGGCGCATGGTCCCCCTGTGTGGCAGTGTGGCTGCTGGGCAGACTCCGGCAGTGTGCCCACTCTACACAGACCCTTCATGTGGATGTGCTTCATCCACCCCCAGAAATCCCGCCTGTCTTGAACTGAAGAGCAAAGCCTGGAAGTTTGACCAAATCAGTAGGAGTTCTAGATGAGCTCAACTGTTTCAGACATAGAAAACAAGAAACTAGTATATTGAACTTCTCCATACCTTCCACCCAACTTAAGAAATGAAGTATTACTGTTACAATCGAAGCGCCCTTAAACAACTTAAATGTCTACCCTTGAGAGAATGGATATGTAAACGGAGGTATGTTCTAAAATATCCTACAGGTAAAACAAAAGAATCAGAGGTATGTGTGTCATCACAGGTAAATCTTAAATATGTTGTTGATCTTGATTCTTTCCATGGGTGTTTCCTAGGAAACTTGAACTGACTCGCCTATGAGAGCTCTCAGCTTAGGACAGCAAGCAATCTACTGATCAATCACTTATAAAGCTAGTAGGAAGGTTAAAGGAAAACAGTAGTAAAATCATCTGTATCTACTGAGTGTGCCCACTTTCTTCTCTTCCTTTCCTTCCTCCTTCCTTTCCTCTCTCTTTGCCCCTTTCTATTCTATTCTCTTACCTCCTCCAATCTTGGCTTATATTCTTCCTTCCTCTCCTGTTTCTCTCCTTCTTACCCTTTCTTTACTCTTCACGGGAGAAGTCTGGGGTGTGGGTGTAATCACGCAAGGAGGTGTGTGTGTGTGTGTGTGTGTGTGTGTGTGTGTGGTGAAAGGGGTTAACACCTAGTTTGTACCAGACCATACTGGGTGCTGTGCACACATTATTTCACATGGTCAATCCATTATTGTCCCCATTTTAAGAATGAGAAAACTGAGCCTCAGAGAGGCTGGAAAATGGGCTGAAGTTCTGCAAATTGTAAATAGCTGAGCAGAGACTTGAATTCAGGTCAGAATCTGGAATCAGGGCTCCTCCCACTTCCCAGCACACAGCCTACCCTACCCCTCCACCCTTTTCTTCTCTTCTGCCTTTTCTCTCCTTCCCTCCCCAAGTATGTCCCATATCACTTTCTACTACAATTACCAGTATTATTATTATACTTTCTGTTATCTATTTCAAGGATGCCTTAGGTTACTTTGTTTATCTTTTCAAAGATAAACAGTTTATCAAATGCTCTCGTGAACAAGACCTCATTTGGTCCTAACAACCCCTGTGAGGCAGGTGGGGCCAATATTAAGCCCACTCTACAAATGAGAACCAGAACTCAGAGAGGCTGGGAATATGCTGAAAGCCACATAGCCATAGGCTGATCTTCTGTCTCTGACTCTGAGTCCTGGCTCCTTTGGTTACCCTGCTTCACCGAGACCTATGAGTCCATTCAAAGTCAAGTGCTGGTCACCGGGAACACACAATACTTGTGAAACCAGATCCTGTCTTTAAATTTTGATATTTTGTTCATCATGAATTTTTGACATTAATTTTGATTTTTTAATATTGCATTACAATGTTATTTATATTATTTATTTGATGGCTGGGTTTATTTGGTATCTTTAAATTTTGCACCAGAGGTGATGCCTCACCCTCCTCACCCTAGTCCCAACCCTACCTGTCTTTACCTAGCACAGTAACCCCTCCTTTATCCATGCTTTTGCTTTTCATGGTTTCAGTTACTCACAGACAACCTCAGTCTGAACATGTTAAATGCAAAATCCCAGAAATAAACAACTCATAAGCTTTAAATTGCATGCCATTTTGAGTCACGTGGTGAAATCTCACATCTTCCAGCTCCATCCTGCCTGGGACGAGAATCATCCCTTTGTCCAGCGCATCCCACCTGTTAGTCACTTAGTAAGTGTCTTGGTTATCAGATCAATTGTCATAGTATCACAGTGCTTGTGTTCAAGTAACTTTTCTTCTACTTAATAATGGCCCCAAAGCACAAGGGTAGTGATGCTGGCAATTGGGATATTCTCTTCCTGTGCCTAATTTAAAAACAAAACTTTCTTACAGCTATTTACGTGTAGGAAAAAGCATATTATCTATAGTATATAAATATAGTATTATCCGAGGTTTCAGGCATCCCCTGGGGGGTCTTGAAATGTATCCCTCCCGGGTAAGGGGGAACCACTGTGCCAGAATTACACTGTGTTTACTTCTAACAAGGTAAGCATGTGGTAAGAGTTGGTTTTACAACAGTGCTGCTTGGCTGCCTTTTCTGACACTTCCTCATTAGTTTGGTTCAGAGTCTCACTTCCCAGGTCCCCTCTGGGAATCCTGTCTGATCAGAATAATTCTGTAGAAGAAGGTGAGTTCTTGGGTCGGTACAGGATCAGTGATGCCTCAGAAAGAGGAGACTTGATTTCTTCCACGGGGCCCCTGCTGTTAGCTGATGCTCAGCGGTTTGAGTTAGCACAATGCTTAGCGGTTTGAGGACTATTTGGGAATAAACTTCCATGGATACCTCCTCACACACCCCTCCAACCCTGTCCCTTGGCTGTTAGCCTTTAGGGAAATAGAAGGAGCAGCTTGATCGGGGTTTTCCTAGAAAAGCCCTTCGATGGGCCCATTATGGAAAAGAAGCTGTTTTTGTTTTCTTTGATTAATTACAGTATCTTGTTTCCCAAAGCACATGTGGCCTTGGATCTTCCAATGGACAACAGCCACAAAGGAAGGGCCATGGCTGCCTGGAGCTTGACAAGGACCCCAAGACTAGGGCCGGTGCAGGGGAGGGGGGGTGGCATACGTAGCCCTGTTGTCAAGGACTTGGCTCTTCACTTTTTACCATTGACGTAGTTCAGGTTGTCCATTTCCTTTGTGTTTTCCTGCCAGTGTGAATAAGAGAAATATTAGTGTTTAAAGATTTCTTTACAGTTCCTTGAAAGCTGGCTGGGTGAAGTCAGCCAGAGAATTATATAACAGCAAAGCTCATTTAAAGCAACAGTGTCTTTCTATAGGGCTGTGGGGTTTCATTTATTGGTTTTGTTATAAATTATAAAGAAAAAGGTACTAATTTTATGAAGAAAATAGAAAGACCCTCCCATTCTTACTTTCTGTTCTTTCACTGGAGGGGTGCAATTTCTAGGGTGTTGGTAAAAAAAAAAAGAAAAGATACAAAACCTCTTTCAAGGAAGATAAGAAAAAATCATGTTCATTAACCTCAGGCAGTCATAGCATACTTAACCTTGTTTGAATTCAGAAGAAAAAATAATAATAAAGAGAAAAGCTTTCTAAAGTATTTGTTTCTTTTTTAAGAGTCTTGGGAATTTTATAAATGTTCAGCTATTTTTTCCTTTCAAAGGGAGCCAGACCCTTTGAGGTAGGGAAGGATTCAAGCATCAGGTAATCTACTACTATGATGTTCTCTGTGGTGCTTTAATACCTATCAAAGTGCCTACCATGCATTATCTCAACTGATCTCCCCATTCCCTTGGTTTGCCCTTCTGTTTCTTTCCATTTTAGAGATAAGAAAACTGAGGCCCAAGGTTTCTCTGACTTGCCTGGCATCACACAGCTCAAATGGAGACCAAATTCTGCGATTCTGTGTCTCTTTCTGGCATCACCCTGAAAAGGCCCCCTTCTCCTTTCCTGTATACCAGTGGATCTCAACCAACGGCAACTTTACCTCTCAGGGGACATTTGGAAATGTCTGGAGGTATTTTTGGTTGACACAACTGGCAGAGGAGGGCACAGGTACAGGTGCTACTGGCATCCAGTAGGCGGAAGCCAAGGATGCTGCTATACATCCGACGGTGCACAGACTACTCCCGCAAAGAAGTATCTGGCCCTAAAGGTTAATAGTGCAGAGGCAGAAAAGCCAAGGTCGGGACTGCGCCCCACATCAGACGAAAGTTCCAACCTCTGGGAGTTGCCAGGGCTCCTCTGCCCAGCGACAGGCTTGGCCTGTCTCCCGAGGCTGCCACAAGAGCTGAAGCCACTGTCTAGAATGCCCTTTGGCAGCGGGCAAGTGTCCCCTGTGGAGTTTCCTGCGGGACAGGCAGTGCATCAGCTGGAGCTGCTGTGTGTTATAATTTATAGTCGCAGGACGCCTGTCTTCATTTAGCAGCAAGCTCGCTGGCAGCTGCCCTGCCAGGGAGGAAGTGAGTCCCGCAGAGGCCCGCAGCACCCCCCACAGCTGACAGCCCGTGGTATTTGGGGACGGCTGTTGCTCGGAGGCACCTGGGAATAGGCCAGGGTGGAGATGGCGCTGAGCACGTGGTCTCCCCTTCCGACCCATCCGTCAGCAGCGGCCCCTGCCAGAAGATGGCCTATTGAACATTTCCAGGAATAGCACTGCCAAGCCTGTCAACTGCTTTCTTGGAAATACACTCAATAAGGATGGCGGGCCTCCAGCAGGGAGAGCAGAAAGCCCGGCCTGGACCACGCCACTCAGAAACGGCAGGGCCTGGCTGCAGGCCCTGGCAGTGCCTTGGGGAAGAGGAGCTGTAGCTTCTGGAGTCGTTTCAAAACGTTCTCAGCGTGGAGGGGAGATGACCACACCTTTCAGAAGGTCGGGCCCTGCTGACCTCATGCAACCCCGTGACCTTTAAATGCCTGCTGTGTTTGTTCAGCCACCAGCGGACTGGAAGGCTATCCGGCTTGGAGGCCAGGTATTAACTAGGTATTAACTGTCAGCAGTGATTGACCTCAGTGTCATCTGGGGAGCCTTGGCCATCACTCCTTCTGTTGTAAGCTTCACTCTCAAATAGCGCCAAAGGAACATAAGAAAGGGCGAGTATTCCCCACTCCACCCCACCAACCCCACGCACACTGTGACTGTGGGGATATAGCAAATAAGAGGCAAAGATGTGATAACGAGAGAAAAATCTTATAAGCCACCCTTCCCCTCACCCCCTGCAGAAGTAACCTTCCCCCTCACAGAGGCCTGACATTCCTGTTGAAACTTGACCACTCGGAACTCTTTGCTCTCTGAGCTACGGCCTTCTCCAGCCTCTGGGGGGGTTGCCCAGGGGTTGCCAGGCTTGGGGATGCCCTAAGAAGGCCAGCTGCCTTCAAAGAAAACTCCTTAAAGATGTAGGCATTATAAAAAAGCAAGAAATCAAAAACCGCTATGTAGAGGGTTCAGGGAATATTGGTTCCTCACCTTTTAAAAATAATAATAGCGTTATGAAGTTTACCACAGAGCAAGTATGGGACATCTATTTCATTTCTAAAAGCCACTGATTCACAGGACAAACATTATTCGAGACCCACACTGACCTACAATTAGTTGGTGGTAGGGCTGCCAAATACACTATCAGATGCCCAAGTAAATTTAAAGTTCAGAAAAACAACAAATAATCTTTTTGGTATAAGTTTATCTACAAGTCCAATTTACCCGGGCGCTGTGTTTTTATTTGTTAAATCTGGTCACTTCTATTTGGGGGGATAAATTGTCCTAGTTGTTAATAACAGGGAACAGCAATACAGATTCAACACATGAAAGATCATAGCTGTTAGAGGAGGAAAGCAGGGAAGGAAGAGGGTAGCAAGGAAGGGGAGAGGAAGATCAAGAAGAAATGGAGATAGGCATAGTGAAGGAGAAAGAAACTAAGTGAAAGAGAAACAGGAAGTACTGAGGAAGGATGAAAACAGGAACATCTCAGAAAGACCTAAAATGCTGAGACAGTTCACAGGATGCTGTTTCCCTGGGAAATGCCGTTTCCTTAGCTAAACACTGTTCCTGTATCTTTTGCTGCTCTTTGTTCTATCTGGTAAAACCCACAGTGACCACTAGGGAGTAATGAGTCCTCAAGCTATGATGGCAGCATCTAGGCCAATATTACCCTGGAGGCAGGTTGAAACCAAACCTAAGACTATATCCAACCCTAAGACCTGTTCCCCCATCCACTCACCCTACTCACCCGCACCCACATTGCTGTCATCAGAGGATTGTGGATTTTCAAAGAATTGGCATCTGAACAATATAACGGAGCTGGTTGTCATGATTCTATGGAACTTTTTTGTTGTTGACGATGATTCGGAAAATCAGTAGCTTCTTTCGCCTCGGGGTGAAAGTGGTGATGAGCAGGGCGTGCATGCAGACAGCAGAGATTTCCTGAGTTGTTAATCCCCTTGTTCTCTGACCTGCAGATAGGAGGCCAGGTTGGCCTGACCCAAAGAGAGAAGCCTTAATAGGCTTCTAGGGGGATGAGAGAGGCATGCCTCCTAGGGAAAAGCTGTCATGGTGGTGGTGGTGGGATGGAGGGGACCCTGCTTTGGAGCCCCCCCATCCCACATGTATCCTGGGGAATGGAAATGGGGCTGCCCTCGGTTACCTGGGCTGCGCTATTAGATGTGTGATACCAGAGCAAGGGAATAGGTCTCCCCATAAACTCCAGTGAGGAGCAGAAGAGACTGACCAGTGGCCCACCCTATTGTGACTCTATTCCAGACAGCTGCTCAAGACTGTGGCCACACGGGATGTTGTCATTATAACAGTAGCTAACACTCGGCAAGCATCTCCTCTGGGCCAGGCATGTGGGAGGTACTTTATAAACACTATCCCAGCTGGCCTTCAACAACTGCCTGATGTTGTAGGGATACTATTACTTTTCATATTACTATTTCCCTAATTTAAGAGAGAGAGAAATCACGACCGCAAAAAGTTAAGTTGCTGTTTCAAAGTCAACTGATTAGTGAGTGTTCGGGCTGAGATTTGCCTCTAGTCTGCCTAACTCCCAGCTCAGGATTCATCCCCGTCCCTCCCGTCAGACTGCAGAGGTCAAATCCCAGCTCCATTACTTACTAGCTGCATGACCTTGGGTAAGTTATTTAATGTCTCTGTGCAACTGCTTCGTCATCTATAAAACGGGGGTAAAAATAGTATCTAGCCCATGGAGTTGCTGTGAAAATTTAATGAGTTTGTGTCAAGCACTGAGAACCCAGTACTTTACTTCCCTTACTTCATCCAATCCTCTAACAATTCTCGAAGTAGTTAATATTATTATCCTTCTTTACATGTGAGGAAACTGAGGCCCAGAGGGCTAATTAGCTTGGTCAAGGTCAGTAAGTGGGACAGCTGAGATTCAAACCCAGACAGATTGATCCATAGTCCATACTTATAGATTCTGCCTCTGTACACTTTTATGTGTTCATTTCATAGTTTCTGCCTTTTAGAACTGGGACGTTGTCAGGTGGCATTTTTGTAGACTTACACCTGTGGACAAGGTCCAGGATCTTCCTTAAAGCTACCGAATACATATCCTTCATAGTAGAATTGCTCAGAAGATTCAACTTTTCTGAATTTGCTGTCTATCTCTGCTTGTTGATAATGACTGTAGTCGTCAGGCTAGGCTAGGCTACAGTGCAGTAACAAATAAACCCTGAAATCTCAATGCTGTTATCACAACAAAGGTTTATTTCTCCCTCACAGAAAGCCTAAGGAAGTTTCCTCTCTGCATTGACCTTGTGGCTCCACACAGACATGCAAGGTCACAGCCAAATGAGACGGAAGAAGTGGAGGAGAGACTCCCATTAACACCCATGGTCTGGTCGTGCCTCTTCTACTCACAGTCCTTTGTGCAGGACGGTAACATGGCCTCAACCCCTGCAAGCGAGGAGGGGAGGGGAGCACATGGATTTTCCCTTCCCAGAGCTGTGGTGGTCTCTACCTCCATGAATAAACCCAGCTCCTAGCCTCAAGTTAAGAACAACTGCTAGCAACTTTATTAACCAGGTTGTGAGAACCCCTTTCTTATTAATTATAGTCATGTGTTTACTTGAATTGAAACCTCTTCATTTGTTCACTCAATAAATATTTATTGAGTGTTCCCTCTCTACCAGTATTTTTAGGCCCCCAGGAATATATCAGTAAATGAAACAGAATAAAGCCACTACTTTTGTAGAACTAGCATTCCAGTGGGGAATGAGAGAGGATAGACACTTAACCCAAAAATTAAGAAAGTGGTATAATATATTAGGTGTTGGTATGTGCAAGGGAGAAAGATAAAACACGGAAGAGGGGATCAAGGTGTGAGTGTGTGTATGTGTGCATTGAGGGGATGATTTTAAATAGGGGGGCTAGGGAAGGCCTTCCTGAGAAGGTAACATTTGAGCAGACATCCAAAGAATGCAAAGGGCTCTGGGGTGAAAGCATTCTAAGAAGAGGAAGTAACTGGCGCAAAGGCCCTGAGGCAGGGGACTGCCTGACGTGTCAGAGGACAGCCGTGTGGCTGAGACGGACGGAGAGCAGTAGAAGACGAGATCAGGAAGGGGGTGGGGGTGGATGTACTGACCCTTGAGGACCTTGTGCTTTTACTCCTGCTTAAAAACCTCCATTTTCTCCTCCTTGTCCTAAGAACCTGGTCCTGGCTCCTCCCCCACCTCCCAACACACCCACTGTTCTTCTCTCAGTCCCCCTGCAGCAGTGCCTCTCAGACTTGAGGGGCGTCAGGACCACCTGGGGGGAGTGTAAAATCAGATTTTCCATAGTGGGGCCTGAGAATCTGCCATTCTGCTGCTGGTACAGGGACCACCCTTTAGGAAGCACAGCCCTAGTGTGACAAGCTCTCTCTTGCTTTTGGGCTTTTCTACTTATTTCCTCAGGAAAGCTTGCCTGGATTCCTGGACAGCACCAACTGTGTAATTTGTGAGGTCCAACGCAACATGAAAATACAGACCTCTTGTTCGAAAAGCAGGGAAAAAAGGTTCAGTTACAGGTAAAATATAAAGCTTTTCCTTTTAAAATATTATATTATTTATAATAATTTTATTTATAAAATGTGATAAGTGTAGTGATACATGAGTAACAATACAAATGTGTTTCTTTTTTAGATGTTGGGGGTAGGAGTTTATTAATTTATTTATTTATTTATTTTTGCTGTGTTGGGTCTTCGTTTTTGTGCGAGGGCTTTCTCTAGTTGTGGCAAGTGGGGGCCACTCTTCATAGCGGTGCGCGGGCCTCTCACTATCGTGGCCTCTCTTGTTGCGGAGCACAGGCTCCAGACGCGCAGGCTCAGCGGCCATGGCTCATGGGCCTAGTTGCTCCACGGCATGTGGGATCTTCCCAGACCAGGGCTCGAACCCGTGTCCCCTGCATTAGCAGGCAGACTCTCAACCACTGTACCACCAGGGAAGCCCACAAATGGTTTTTTAATGGTAAAACATATTTTTGATGTCATAATTTTATATAATACAATGAATAATACTGATTAATATGATACCGAGATTCTTCTGGTTTGCTTTCCTACATATTCATTCATTAGGTCATAAAAATGTGTACTTTTAATAACTTAATTTTCAATTTATATAATTGAAAGCAATGTCATTTGCTGTTGGCAAATGTAAAATTACAAATATTTTTTGATAACTTTAATTTTGACAATTAAAATCTACTAATGCAATTGTTACCAGAGCAGATAAGAGAGTTTTATAGGCTATGACAACATTGGGATACACATTTGGTAAATTATTTTGAAATATAAGTTTCAGTACCTCTAGAGGTGATGATTCCCGTGGAACTATATTCTACAGAGTTAACTCTTTATACAAATCAGTTTCATGTAATTCTGAATTTAATATGCAAATTTATATTATTTATAAATAATTAAATTAGTGGTATTTACATATAGCATTTATATTACCTAATCAGTTAATTATATGATTTTTATACACAAATTTAATGTTAGTATTTTCTGACAGTTCCTGCAACTTGTGAAAATCTATAAGAAACCAAAGTGGCTTCATGATTTTTATATAATTCAAAATGCCTGATATGCATTCTATCACTGTATCTTCAAATATAAGAAAATTCATTTACATATTGTCTTCCTTGTTAATTGTTTATCTGAAACTTTGTGTGAAGGCAGTGTTCTATTCTATTGAATGGAACAATCTTTACATTTAATTTCTATTTCTGAGCCCATGTATGTTTGGTTTGCAATGCTGTAACAGTTTTCAAAACCAGAAATTCTAAATTCTTTGAAGAATTTTAATAAGGCCCTGACATGCTTTATTGCAATGTCAATGTGTACACCCTTAATTTGTAATAATTTACTGACAACCTTTACCACCTGAGTGCCTGAGTGTCCTGGTGCTCATATTAGAGAGTTAATATTTGTGCAGATGCCACAGGGACAGGCTCTGGGGAGAAACGGGTTAGCCAATCTCCCACCATGCGTCCCAGCACTGCCCCTGGAACCACTCCACTCTCCCACAGCTGCCACTGCTGCCACCACCACTGCATCTGCTATTGCTGCTGCCGCCATCAACCAATCTGGGTCCAGGTCCCAGGCAGGGCTGCCCTCGTTGCTCCAAGGGGCTCTGGACAGCCCCAGGTGTGCACATGCTCACCAGAAGGCCAGGCCGGGTGCTTGGTGCTGCCGGCTGCCATGCCTGTGTGCTCCAGCCCCCACGTGTGTGCACTAATGCCTGGCACAGCAGCTGTGCTCACACACGTGCTCCATTGTCCTTTCTGACTTCACAAGTTCAAATATAACATAATTAAGAATTTCAAGACTCTGACAACAGAGCATTAAACCAAGCACGCTGTCCCTTCTGAGTGGCCCTGCTTGCACACCCACAAAGTTGGTCCTGCTCCTGGGCTAAGTGTCTTACCCTAGTTTTGCCCATAGAGCATCTTATATTATTCTCTAACAGTGTGTCATCCTAAATTATTTAATGTCTGTTTTCCCTGCTAGACAGGATCAGCAAACTATGACCCATTGGCTGAATCCTGCCTGCTGCTTGTTTTTGTAATGAAGTTTTATTGGAACATAAAAACTCGTTTATTTTGGTGTTGTCTGTGGCTGCTTTCATATTACAAGGAAGAGTTGAGTAATGCAACAAGGAATGTTTGGCCCAGGAAGCTTAAAACATTTGCTGTCGGTTCTTTATAGAATTCTGCACTAGACTGTAAGATCCCTGAAGGCAGGAATCAGGTCTGTCTAGAACAGTGCCAGGCATATAGAAAATGCTCAGTCAATACTTGTTGAAAAACAAAAGGATTAAAAAATGAATACATAGAGAGCCTAGTATTTTTTGAAGTAATTTATCTTAAAGAAAACCATGTACATTTTGTTTGATTTCATTTTTTGTTTTCGTATAAAAATTCTGTCTAAAGTTACTTGCCACACTGAAATTGACTCTCCAGGGAGATGTAAGGTGTTTGTCTTGTAGTTGGCATACCCTCCCGACATGTTGCTCTACTCCTTAGTCTAAAGAAGCACAGGCATTGAAAATCCATCATTCCTCATTAAATAATATTTATTGAGCAAGGCGTGGGGCTAAGCGTTACGACAGGAGTGATAATAATTTGCACTTGTATCTTACCCAAGAGAATTTTACAGGCTATCGACCAAAGGAGAAAAGATTTGCAAATAATATATTATATACACAAGCAACTATGATAAATAGTGTTCAGTGCAGAAGGAAATTTCTGGATCAAGTGCTATCATCTTTCAGAGTCAGGACACGTTCCTTTTGACTGTGAAATCAGAAGAAGCTTCTCACCAGGCATTCTTTTGGTCTCAGATCCAATCCCTGTTCTTTTTCTGCTTTGCTCTGCACCACAAGGAGCTAACTCCTGCAAACTTTATTTCCCTGGCTCCCCTGCCAACTGATTCCAGCTGAGTCCCTTCGGTGGGTGGCCACAGAGAAAGACCAGACGACTGGAGGAAGGGGGAGGAACCAGGGTATTTCTCCTCACTCTTTGAGCCTCAGTTTTCTCACCTATACAATGAAAAAACCAATAGAGTATTTTCACAGGGTTTCTATGAGAAATAAGATAAGGCATGCAAAATGCTTAGCATGATACCTTATATATAAAATAAACATTCAAGGAGTAGGTCTATTATGGCTTTTAGCCTTGCTTAGGTAAGTGGAAAGAGTGCAGTGATCAATAAGTGATGTCTGCCAAGAGTGAAGGGTTGGGGGGTAGTGCTATGTGAGAGGAATATTTACCCAACCCTGATACCTTGGAGCTGTATTGTGGAGATAGAATTGAGAGGACCTGGCAAATGGATTGACAGACTGGTAAGGTATTGGGAGAAATCGAAAAACTGGGATAGTGATACCAAAAGTAGACATAGGCAATGAATAAGAAAGAGTAGGTTTGGGAGAGAGGATTATGAATTCATTTTTAGATAAGGTGTTGTTGGGCTTTTTCCAATTACCAAAAAACAAAAACCCCAAAACAAAAAAACAAAAAAATGGTACACTTAAGAACACCACAAGAGATGGGAGATTTTGATAGAAATACACATGTGCAGTGAGTTAGCAGAGAAAACCGTCTCAGCAGCTACACGCTCAGACCTAATGGACAACTGGAAAACTATGCGGGAGACCACAGCAATTCCAGTTACTATAGTCTAGTCTTCTCTTAAGAGGAGAAACCATTGTTCTTTGCTTACTGAGTCTTCCCTGCTCAGGACTCTCTCTGCTTCTGGTTCTGTCTCTAGATTTCCTCTTCCTGCCTTTGTGCTGTGGTTATATTCTTTGCGTCCAGCATTCAAGATGATCAGACTGCATATTTACCATTTAGTGTGGGGCTTCCCAACTAGGATGCATTCTCAGCTCAGACCACCTCACAGTTTCCTTAGGTCTGGCCCATATTGGACGTCTTTGGCTTGGAGTGGCAGCTGTGGCCAGCATAGCAGTCACCTGACAAGGTGTGTCAAAGTCCACCCTCTCAGGAGCTGTGTAACTAGCTGTGAAACCAGTAGGTTTTATGGTGTATACATGGTGAGTGAGCTGGAGATGTCATTGAGATCTCCATGGAGCTGAAAGTAAGATTGGGTCATGTTGAGAGAGTACTGAGGAGACTTAATTACCTCTAATGTTATATATCCCATGCAAATTCAATCATACAAGATCAAAATCTGTCCAAGGTTCAGGGCAAAGAAGTCAGAAATTAAAAAGATGGTTCTTCCAATGGAATCCAGAAAGTTAGACAATTTGCAGAGGAAGGGATTTTCTTACTGTCGTTTATAGGGACTTCACCATTTTTTTTTCTTTTTTTTTTTTTTTGGCCATGCCACATGGCATGTGGGACCTTAGTTCCCTGACCAGGAATCGAACCCGCACCCTCGGCAGTGAAAGCATGGAGTCTTAACCACTGGACCACCAGGGAATACGTGGGACTTCATGCATTTCTTAGAGGAACAACCTAGAAATTGGCTTGGAAGGGTGGGTGTGGTGAGGTTAGGGTTTTCTTACTGCTTTGAGAATAAAATAGTCTACAGTTTAGGAAAACAAACAAAAC